GGGTGGCTCCTCTCCTATGGAATAGCTTGCCTACTGCCATCAGACTCTCCCCTAGTCTTCAATCATTTAAGAAGGGCCTTAAAACCCATCTCTTCAGGAAAGCTTATGGCCTCCCAGAGTAATCTCTACCTTACATACCTGTCTCCTGCTCTCTCCTATGGGATAGTGCTTTGCTCTCTCCTCCAGCTCTGCTTCACTCCTACTTGATATTTCTTATCCTAATGTTTCTAATACCCCACCTCCTATAGTCTGTAAGCTCATTTGAGCAGGGTCCTCTTCAACCTATTGTTCCTGTAAGTTTTCTTGTAATTGTCCTATTTATTGTTACATCCCCCCTCTCAAAATATTGTAAAGCGCTACGGAATCTGTTGGCGCTATATAAATGATAATAATAATAATAATAATATAATCATAGATTCAAGTTCAGGGCTGCTTGGTTGACAGCTCTGTCTATAGTTTTTTTTTGTTTAATTTGTTTGGCTAAGGGTGCTCAAAGTACTGAGCAGTTCTTAAATAAATGTAAAGTGCCATTGGTGCATAGACTGACCTTTTAATGCAAATTTATAATGTATTATTGTGGCAGTCACGTTTGCAGGTTTTTTTTAATTTAAATTTGCCTGTTTATTTTTATATAAATACTTAAAAAGGTAAGGTTATATTATTTCTTTAAATCCCAAACCGTGTAATCTTTGGGCATGGATTGTACTCAGTCTAATTTACCCACAATCCATCAGTCATGTGATTGACATATTTACCTACCTCTGTCCTGACCAAGTCCAGAAACAGAATATATGATCTGTGCGTGAAGACCATGCCTAAACGTAGACATAATGGACAAAGATAATCTATATGGTTGTGCATGATAATTGAAATCCAGTGCAAGTCAGAAAAGATCATAGATAAATACAAGTGAGTGTGGAAAGTAAAATCGGTAACCCCTTAAGGATGGCGGAAATTGTACAAGTCCTGATCGAAGCAAAATGTAAAAAAAACAAAAAACAAACTGGAATTTGACTATAGGTCTGTACAACCATAATTCACCTATTTCATAGTAAATGCACCCACACTACTTGTATATGAGTTTGTTAAGGAGAAACAGGGCTTTCATTTCACATCAAATATTTACATATGAAAATTTAATATGAATAAAATATATAAAAAACAAAATTAGAAATTAAGAAGTTATTTTTTTTTGTTTTGCATGGCATTTTAAAGGAACACTATAGTCACCTAAATTACTTTAGCTAAATAAAGTAGTTTTAGTGTATAGATCATTCCCCTGCAATTTCACTGCTCAATTCACTGTAATTTAGGAGTTAAATCACTTTATTTCTGTTTATGCAGCCCTAGCCACACCTCCCCTGGCTATGATTGACAGAGCCTGCATAAAAAAAAAAAAACTGGTTTCACTTTCAAACAGATGTAATTTACCTTAAATAATTGTATCTCAATCTCTAAATTGAACTTTAATCACATACAGGAGGCTCTTGCAGGGTCTAGCAAGCTATTAACATAGCAGGGGATAAGAAAATCTTAATTAAACAGAACTTGCAATAAAGAAAGCCTAAATAGGGCTCTCTTTAAAGGAAGTGTTTATAGAAGGCTGTGCAAGTCACATGCAGGGAGGTGTGACTAGGGTTCATAAACAAAGGGATTGAACTCCTAAATGGCAGAGGATTGAGCAGTGAGGCTGCAGGGGCATGTTCTATACACCAAAACTGCTTCATTAAGCTTAAGTTGTTCAGGTGACTATAGTGTCCCTTTAACTGTGAATGTTATACTGTTTGCTTTTACATCAATATAATACACATATTTGTGTTCAGCAATGTCTCAACAAGTAAAACAGTAACCCACATGTATCGGTTTTATGGTGTTTTTGAAAGTTACAGGGTAAACTATATCACATTACATTTTTCAGTTTATACAAATTGAAATTTGCCAGACTTTTTATGTTGAATTTGAGACAGTATGGTAACCCAGGAATGAGAATTACCCCCATGATAGCGAAGCATTTGCAAAAGTAAACACAAGGTATTACAAATGAGGTATTTTTTTTTTTAACCACTTAGTCACAAACACTGGCCAAAGTTAGCATTCATATTTGTTTGTGTGTGAAAAATGCAAAAACTAGATTTGAACACTAATTTTGGGCAGTGTTTTTGACTATGTGACTATTAAAAAAAGAAAGATTTGATGTAGGTAACTATGAATAAAACGAGAGGGGATCATAATAGTCAGAGTAAGGTTTCAGGGTTCATAGAGAAGCTGTGATTTGCAAACCCACAAAAATGCAATAAAGCAGATAAGCGTCTACAGCAAAATATGCTGTAAGGAGGTACAATTGCCTTAAATTAAGATATATCATAGCAAAAGAATGGTTTCTCCTATAATTAAGAGCTGACTACCACAGCCTCTCATTGGGAACTTGTCATCCCATTAATATCCATTGTATTGATTCTTTACAAGTCATTCTTTTTAAATATTACCCTTAGTTACCTCCGAGGCTGGGGGACAACAACTCAATTTATTCCCTTTTTGTGTGAGTACTTATGAGAGTTGACATTAATTCCTCCCCCTCTCTGACTGCAACAAATGGTAAGACTCATTGAAACTTTTACTGTATGGAAGAATGGGGTGAGCTGACAATTTCAGCAATTTGTAGATATTAAATAAGTGGCTGATGGCAGATAGTTCCTTTACACGAAAGAATGGCAACCTACTACCTTTGGAGCGTTATAAAGCCCGTCCTGGCACTTTTGCAGCCAGCAAATATATGCCAATGATAAAAATCACAATCCACATATGAAGAGGAAGGTACTTTCTTGCATATAGAAGCCGGGTGCTCCAAACCAAGGGTTGTCAAACCCTTATTTTAACTTAGTCAAGAAAAAAGGATGGTCCAGGCATCACATTAGGCAGCTTTATTGGAAGTGAACAAGAATTGCAACGTTTATGTCCACACAGGGGACTTTGACAAGTCAAAGCCCCCTGTGTGGTCCAAAACATTACAATTATTGTTCACAAGCAATAAAGCTTCTTAATGTGACGCCTGGACCATCCTTTTTACCTTGACCATGATAAAATCATCGGCATCCAGCCCTTTTACTGCCAGTGAGAGCCTAAGTCTCTCAGAACATCTACATCCCTGAAGTAGTCCCAACAGGCAAAACACGTAGGACTTTTTGATGGTTTTTCATTCAAACACTTTTGTTTTCATTTGTAATCTGCCACCCTGCATGTTTACCTCCGAAACTTCCTGCTATTCGCTGAAGCCTGGTTACCACGCTGGTTGCGGAGATACGCTTGATTTGGTCTGCAATCGTGTAAGTGCAATAAAGTTGTATTTTTTTTAATACAATCTGCACTATATTCTTTTTTACTATCCTGAGCCATCCAGAAGATTCCGCTGAAGACCATCAATCTTTACTACCCGCTCCTATCTGAAACTGAGACATTCTTAAATATACATCTACCTAGGGAGTTCTCTACCATCCCCACCCTGATATTTATATTGAACATACTGCACCATATATATTTTCATTGATTTGCAGAAAATCTTGTGATCACTTTTCAGATTGTACATACCTTAATTATTCACTTAATTTGGTGGTTTTATAATATATGTTTTAGCCCTTTTTGGTCATTTTTTTCTGTTTCTATGTTATTCTGAGTGTCTTAAATTGAACACCATTTTCCTTAAAGGGTTTATTTGTGTTTTAGAGCATATAGTGATTTTTTTGTTTGTATACACTAATAAGGCTTTAACCCTTTAAGACATGTCCTCAAAAGAGAATGGAATTGACAAGACAATCATCCAAAGCTAACAGGTAAGTACTTGTTTTATACTACAACTACAGTCAGCATCACCTGAATATTTATCAACCCTAATCTATAAAATCAAAATGTTACACATAAGGCAACGCAGAGTGCAAATATAACTACACGTACACGATTTGCACTACAGTTGGCCATGTACACTCTCTAGCTAACAGCCATTTAGTGTTCTCCACATCATCAAGACTGTTTGTGTTAGAAAGCTAATGGGAGTTTTACATTGTAGGTATAATTGGATAATTCTGTCAGGCATGCTTCTATACTATGTTGGCCAAAATGTGAATTTTGCTTTGAATTCCTGACAACACAAACTATAATGTTTAACAGTATTTCCCTCAAAACACACCCAACAGTCCAAAATTTCAGCATGTCCCATTTCTATTGTCGCGATTGTGCTGTATTTGAGTTTGGAACAATTGGTGTTCAAACTGACTGTGACGTTGAAGTGTTGTGGTGTCATAGGCAGTCACACTGAAACAGGAAAAAGATGGACACATGCAAATAGTATAGGCCAAAAATAAAACCAAAACCCTTAAAATAATATATGGATTCTAAAAACTGCAATAAAGTGGATTCCATACCATTTAATGCATGTTCTGATTGATGGGTCATTGCAATGCACCAACTTCTCATCTGTAGGCCTAGACTACAATTTCAAGGGAACAGAAGCAATTAATTACCAAGTATGTACTACCAACATGTCATCCAGTGTGCTTTCTGCATTGGTTTTTAGAAATGCTCATTTCACTTAATGAGTCTGTGTGTGATTTTTAGTGTTTTATATGAGGAATGGGGAACCAACAGTGCAGAGGTAATGGTTATAATGCTTCAGTGCCAATGTTTGAGTACTAGTAAAACTAGAATTCCCTAAAAAAGCCACACACAAAAAATATACACCTCATTAAAACCCCAAAGGGGAGGAGTGGGGAGGAAAACCCTACTAAAATCTGAACAAATACAAACAACTCCAGGAAAAAGAGATCAGAAATCTTTCTATAGCCCTTACTATAGAATTTCTACTAAAAACCTTATACACACCAAAAAGCAATGTCAGGCAACTGTTCAGGGACCACATAATACTGGAGTGGTTTAGCAGCTTACCAATTTAAAATTACTCCACAGCACACCTTGAATCAATTTTCAAAGAAAGAACAAACTTTGTTATTCGACAATATATTTTGAGCCTTTTCAGGCAAACTTTTTCTCAAGAAGACATTACAGCAATGACAAAGGGAAATTAATTTTTTATTTTTCTGAATCATGTTTTTTTAGACAACAAATATACTTACCCGCCTAACAAGCCCCCACCCCTTCTCATTCATTCTGCTTTTATATGTGACAATGTGTCCATGAGTTTTAATTGTATAACAAAATTCGAATGAGTTTCTACACACGTCTGTTTGCTTTATAGTGTAAAAAGCAATATTCTGCTCATTCAGTCTTTGATTGAAGTCCAAATGTAAAATCTGCAGGTAAAATCTCATCTGCTATTTGAGACAACTGGTCATCATATGATCGTAAAGTCCATAGCTTCTCTAATTCATAAAGCTCTCTCATCTCTGGCAGCATAAAATGGACAACAATATCACCTGTTTTAAAAAAAATAAAAAATTATACAATTAGCACATGTTAAAATATTATATATGAAATATAAATCAGTAAGGACTGATTATCGGTTTGGCCGATAAATATTGGCTGTATTCAGCATTTTGGCAAATATCGGTATTTGTTTAAATGGTACTGATATCATCTGTCCACCCCAGGTGCCAACCAAATGGTATGGGAAGCGGCCGGGACCCAGCACTTGCCATCTTCAGTTTCCAGCCGGTCCTCTTTCCAACTCTTGCAAGCCTCTGGTTGTCAAAGTGGCAACGATCCTCGCGGCATCCAAGGCTCGTGAGAGTTGGAAATAGGACCTGCTGGAAAAAGAAGATAGTGAGTACTGGGTCCCGGCCACCCCTTCTACAAGAGGAGTACTACTCACTGTACTATATATATACACTGCACACATATATAATAATACAGACATGGGCAGCGTACACAGCCACACAACCACCAGGGAGTTCAATGTGCCCCTCCCTGGCCACACGTAATACCCAGACCCCTCCCACCTCTTGGACAGCATCCATTGTGAAGCTGCATTCTTAGTGAGCTGTCCAGGAGATGGGAGGGAGGGTATGCCGCTGATTGGCTGGAATGTGTCTGCTGACTGTGAGGTACAGGGTCAAAGTTTACTCAACGAGGAGTCCACGGCGAACAGTTCGGGACATCACTAGTGCCCAATAATGCAATCTGACCAAGTTTATGAACTTTTATTACATATATTTCAAAGTTTTTCTTGCTTTATTTTTGGTTGCATATTTCTTTAAAATGTTTGCTTGCTGGTTTAAAAAATTTTTAAAAAAAAATTAATAATAATAAAAATTGTCAAGTAATGCACGTGCCTTTAATGTGTTCACACATTTTATCTGGAGTGACAAATCGCTTAACCCGGACTGCTTTACGCAAGGTAGGGTCTTTTATTCTTCTTTCTGAACTAAAAATTGCACTAGAGTTATAAAGTGGAAAAATGTGAAAGTGGCCACATCAAAATCATTGTTCATTGGAAGCCTTTAACATGTTGATAATTGTAAAATGATAGATTGTGATGGAGGTAATTTTCATTTAAAAATAAAAGTCAGCAAGACTCCAGTACCAAATGCAATACTTACCAAAATCTATGCACATCCAGTCATCTGTGTCCTTTCCCTCTAAGATGATTTGTGAATTACTGACCTTCTTCAAAGATTTGAACTTAAAAAAATAAAAATAAAAGTTTATGAAGTTCTACCATTTAATTACCACAATCCCTGTCAAAACACAAATAAAAAAAAATAAATAAACCCCAACAACTATACACACACACACAATAATTTAACAAGTGCATGTTTGGAAGATGAAGAGACACACACTTTTTAACTCTAAGAAAGAATCTCTGTGTAGTAGTCTCTAGTGGATAAACCAACAATTCAGATTCGCAATAACACTCAAAGATGTTTGTGAACTACTTTCACATGCTGTTCTGCCAGACTAGTTCACAAGCATCTGGAGTACCAGAGTCTTGGTCCCAAACAGTGCAGTAGTTTCAAGAGGGAGAAAAATAAAATAGAAATATCCCTCTCCCCCCAAACCATAAAGGCTATAGTAATGTCTGACAAAAAATAAATACAAGTATTATTTATGCAACAAACATTTTATAGGATTTGCATAAATTCTGCCAGTTTAAAATTAATACACACTGGCATAATTATCTCATCCATATTCATGTTAAATGCAGCACTTAGTCATAGGTATAATGAATGTAACATCACAAAAGTTTAATTGCAGTAGAGAGACTGGGTCTGAAGGGGAGCCCTGGGTTTTGTTAAACATCTAAAAGCGCCTTTAACCCCTTAAGGACCAACCTTCTGGAATAAAAGGGAATCATGACATGTCACACATGTCATGTGTCCTTAAGGGGTTAAAAGAAAAATCTGGGGACATTTTGCCCATAGACTTATGCAACCATAACTATTGCAGTGAGCTCTAGTAGTTATGGTGCTTAAAAATGCCACTTTAAAGCAGCTAGTATTTTTGTACACCTTTAGGATCTTACCACTTTCAAAGTATACTGTGCCATCGCCTGTATATGTCTTGTAGAAAATCCACTGACGATTACAAAATACTCTGCATATTTCACTTCAGGAGGTATCCTGATAACACACACGTCTTTGCCATTCTCTTGTCTCAACAACTTGACCAGTAGATCGATGTTAAAAGTGAGAAGAGTGTTGTCTGAAATAAAAAAAAAAATCAATCAGATGTAGAAGCATCTATTTTATTAGACTTATTTAATGGTGTTAATGATAAATGTTTAAATATTTGATGCCTTTTTAAAAGGAAAAAAAATTAATCTGGAGTGTAATAAATGTGTATAAAGTGAATAAACAATAGCCCTATTGTAAGCTTAAAAGGGGAAGGCTTAGTAGCAACCACAAGGTTTAACTGTAGTATTTATAATGATAAGAGTCTATCAAGGTTAGTTACTAAAGTGAGAATTCAAAGCGAATTTCACAAACATATATTCCTGTCACTACAACTGTGAAATGTTTAAATGACCAGCCCCCGTCACCTAAGTGAAAGGTGTTGAACTCTACTTTTACTCCTGCACTGCGCAGGTCTCTTTCCTCCACCTCCTTGGTTGAGATCAAACTTGATGATCTCAGCCAATCCAATGTTTTCCCATAGTGAAGCATTGAGAAGCTATTGCGCATTCATGGCAAAACGCTGCACCAATTAGCATCTCATCATAGAGATGCATTGAATCAACGAGGAATGTTCAGTGCCTCCATGCAGAGCACGGAGACGGTGAACGTCAGTGCTACTGACCCAGAAAGCAACTCTAGTGTGCGTCTGAGTAATAGTACTAGGTGTTCCTAGGCCGTAATGTAAACTCTGCCTTTTCTCTGGAAGATTAAGAAATAAAACTGGCACAGGGGATGGTAGGAAAAGGTTTTTTTGGATTGGAGAGGGACCAGGAAAGGTAGGAAAAACATCATCTTGGTAAGAATTAGGCTAAGATAGTTTGTGGAAATAAAATAGTCAGCAAAATGAAAAAGAATTATTTTGCCCTATTATTTCTGGGCCCTGCTCAACAGCATGTTGGACCAACAAATTCCAGCTTTACTCACCAAAGAAGCTGCTCCATGTAATGAACATATAAACACTGGTGTTGCAACATGCTTTTTAACCAATCATGCCTTCTCATTTTATTGAAGTGGTCTGGGTGCGGTGTCCCTATCCCCTTAATTCTGCAATGTAAAACATTGCCGATTTAGAGAGGTTGAGGTTGAAGGCTGCCTCTAAGGACTGTCTGGTAGACAGCCACTAGAAGCGCTTCCTGCAGTGTCATCGACGATGCTGGATGTCCTTATACATATCCAGAGTCTTGAAAAACCCCATAAAAAAAAATAAAAAAAATATTGGGTCGATGCTTTCCTATGGGATAGAACTAAATTCACAGATTACGTTGCTGTAAACCTTATATGTAATCCAGCTGTGGGACATTCTCTGCCTTTTGTGAGATCATCAGGATACATGATCTCTGTCCAGTACAACATTTCTCATACTGAAGAATGGGGACATAGAAGATATTTTAAGCAACCACGTTGCACCTTCTACATGAAATATTTAATAGACATTATATTGTGCAGTGCCTGATAATAGTTAACAAAAAAAGACGTTGTGCATACCTCCAAACTTTGGGGTCCTAAGAAGTGTGACAGTGATGTAATGTGGGCAGACTCGCCCAAAGAGTTGACAAGTCAGCACCAATCTGCCTGTTAGTCAAGTAGCCCAGCTCATCAAGGGCAGAACATGCAGGTAGTACTGTTTCAGTGCTCTCTACGGGGTTCTGTTCTAAGGCCGAATATAGCACAAGTACATCCTAGCGATGCGCTCATGCTATGCTGTTTGGGGACGGTTCCGTAGTGTCGCCAAGAAAAGTACGGAACCCAGAAAATTTGGACTGTCTTGCTAGCTGCTAAAGGAATGCCTTTGGACAAATGTAAGCATTGCCATTTGTCTGAGTAAGGGGGACAACATCTCGAAATAAAAAAAAATAACATATTACCATGTGTTGGTAAAAGTTTACATTTTCAGATTTGATCTTAGGACTTGTCATTGGTGTCAATATTCTACTTCCAGCCCTACCCACTGTCTAGAATCTAAAAAGAATGACCAGATCAGGGCTATTAGTAACTCCCAGTACTCTCAACCAGTCTAAACATGATTGGATTTGCAGTCCACACGTGTTGCCTATCAAAACACATGTCCTTGAAGGTCAGCCCGTGTTTGTGACTCTTGCCATACCCATCATCTCCTGTCGCGGTTCCGGTTCGGCCTGGCTCCGTGGCAGAGGAAGCCCATCTATGTCCTGGGTGTCTTCAGAGCCCGAGCTCCTTCCAACACCCCCCGCCGGTAACCCGTTTAACCCAGGGTGCAGATGGAGCGTCCGAACCGCAGCCTGCCCGGTAACCCGAGCACAGGCTGCCCCCACTATGCTCTGCACGGAGCCCAGAGACACGTTTCGGCATAGCCGCGGGGCCGAGCACAGCGCTCTGTAACCCGTTACACACACGGGATAAAGCCTAGGCAGACACTGTGCCCACATTGCTCTGACGACATCAGCTACTTCCTGGACAGCAGCCCATGGAACGCAACAGCAAACCACGCTGCTATTGGTCTAAAACACTTTACAAGTGCGTTCCTATTGGTTAGTCTGTAACCTGGCAACAAGGCTTTGTTTACACAGCACCAGCTCATCTGTTTATCTGCCCCATAGTGATAATTTCATTATTATCAGTGGTATTGTTTTTAGAACTGTACTGTATGGTAGTGGTAGGCAATCTGCCCCTTGGCACTCCAGACAGTGTGCGCTACATCTTCCTTGACGCTTGGCCAGCATTATAGCTGTAAGAGCATTATGGGAGATGTAGTCCACAACATCTGGATAGCAGAAACTTGCCCACGGTCCACGGTGTGTATAGGCTTCCTCACTAAAGAGTGAGCCCTGAGCGGCGGGTGGGGGCCCTAAATAAAAATGTTACCCTGTGGTGGAATCTCGGTAAAAATAAATTTAGTAGGCCGAGATTACCACATGGCATGTGTACGTGCATATGCTGACGTATCGATCAGTTGGTTGCACGAGGCAAGATACGATCAGTAGTGTACGGAGCATGTGCAAGAATACAGGATGTAGTATTCCCCTCCTCCATTGTGCTGGACAAGCCATGTGGTCAAGCAGGAAGTTAATTCTTATTTGTAATGATTGGTCAAGAGAATGTGCGGGTGGAGCTTAATATGGGAGGAGTTATGTGCCTATATAGGAAGCCTGCACTATTGTTCAGGGCTCAGAACTTGCTGTATTTTTGGTGACATTAGTCCCTCTGAGTCCCGATCGGTGATCCAATAAAGAATCTCTTCCTTCCTGAAGAAACCTGTGTCCATCCCTCTGTGCTTTGCTTCCGTCAGTTTCTCCGGTATCATTTGGTGCATTGGCCGGGAAGCTCATCGTTCAACGGTAGCTGAGAGGCAGAGGCGTGAGACGGTCTATCTTTGCCCACGTTCTCTACGGCTGCACCCCTGAACTTCTGCGTGGACCTCCCTTCGTCTCGGCGCCACTGGTCTGTTGTCCAGGAGATCATCGGCCTCTACGTAAGAAGTGCTGGGGTGTCCCCGTCGATGAGTGTGAACTCAGGTTCAGGAACGAGGAGGTAAGACAACTGCTGTTTTAGACGGCAGACCCACTAGGGGTATACCGATTGTGCGGTAGGCCCAAAAGGGGTTTAAATCTGTGTATGGAATCTGCCCCCTCTGTCGGAGGGAAGGAGCGAAGGCGCACCGCTCGATCGAACGCTCTTTAGTAAGACCGTTTGATCTGGTTAGTCAGGCGGGGTCCTGTGTAAATAGCCCTAGCCGGACACCGGTGTCTTGTCTAGACTAGCGTTCTAGGGTGTATATTACGTTCGCTAGGTCGGAGGGACCGGGAGACTAAGCGGCGCCTGTGTAAATTCGGTTCGCTAGCTCTCAACCTATCTTGGCTAAGTGGGAAGGCGTGTAAATTTGGAACCCACTAGACTTTTGATAGAGTAAATAGACTAGAAGGGCAATTTTGTAAATTCCGCCCTCTAGTTCGCTATATGTGGTGCTTGGGCAGTGTGGCTAACCAAAACGGGTGTATATAGTTTTAGGTAGTCCATTCAAGGTACTGGCCAATAGTTTAGTTGGGATTGTAAATGTGTTAAAGATTGTTAGTAAAGTGTATATCTTGTTAGATAGCGCGAGCTCAGCCGTCTAGCGAGAGTGTTAATAGTGTGTTGCTGTATCATAGTGCACGGTACCATAACCCTGTATATTTACTGACACTGTATATAAGTACTAATCATTGTCGTCTATTGCATGTTTAACACCATAACCACTAATAATTGTATTGTGACCTTAAATTGTGCTTTGACCTATGCTAACCGTACTGTAACCGATACTAGTAAAAGACGATGTTACTGGGGTGTGTTATAGACGGGTAATTCATATATAGAGAATTATAGCGTGGGTGACTGTATAGTTTCGCCAAAGGGCATAATATTGATTATTTAGTGACTGGTGTAACAGCTGTGTGTGTACGGGAATTCCCTGAGTGATTATTGTGTTATTGTGTACGTTTCACTTGGTAACTGTACCACGTGGTGCTGTTGCCAGAGGAAACGGGTGTGACTGTTGAATAAGAACGCGTGCATAGTATTCGTTGTCAACGACGTTCCATTGATAAGTATGGGCGCGTCAGAGTCAGCGATTTCGGATCCCTTAGGTTGTATGGTAAAGAATTTTAAAAAGGGATTCAAAATATGTGATTTTGGGGTTAAAATGTCTCCTGTTCGTTTGGTCACTTTGTGCACTAGGGAGTGGCCTACTTTGGTTGCGGCATGGCCGCCGCGTGGCAGTTTGGATCCAACCCTGGTACAGCGTGTACACGTGGCTGTGTCAGGTAGGCCTGAACTTTACGGACAGTTTCCATACATTGATTGTTGGGGGCAGGCCGTAAACGACTCGCCAAAATGGATCCGGATATGCCACGAGGAGCAATGTCGCCTCATGGTGGCCAGGACTTGTTTGTCCACTAGGACTGGTGTTAGGCCCATTTTGGACACGCCCCCTGAGTCCGAGATCCCTTTGCCGCCCCCTTACTTCCCTTTAAGAGGAAGTGACGCGAATGCAGGAAGTTCTGCACCCCTTCCCCTATTGCCCCCATCCACTTCCGCTTCCTCCTCCAGTACAGAATCCACCCCCCCTCGTATTAAAACTCCCCTTCCTGAACCAGGACCAACCCCCATTAGATCTGAATATCCTGATTTGGCGCCACTTCAAACTTCCGGTCAAGCTTCTTCTAGCTCGGCTCAGAGTATACTATTCACTAATTTTTCACAAAATCAAGTTCCCACATCCTCATGCCCTATTACCTCTCGACCGGAACCTTTAACTGACGCCCCTCCACGTAGCCCCATACTAACCCGACAACTGACCGGTACCCAACAATTAAAACATTATCAGATGCCTCTTCGTCTGAATCCTGGGTCAGCCTATATCGATGCCGCAGGTCAAATGGCACATGCTGACCCAGTCTTCGTATATGTCCCGTTCACGACTACCGATCTCTTGAATTGGAAGACCCACAATTCCTCGTACACTGAGAAACCACAAGCTATGACCGATCTGTTCACCTCGATAGTTCAGACACATAACCCGACATGGGCTGATTGCCAGCAGTTATTAATGACATTGTTCAATAATGAGGAAAGGACAAGGATTAACCAAGCGGCCATTAAGGCGCTAGAGGAGAGAGCCCGTGCTTTAAATCAAGCCAATCCGGCAGCATGGGCCGCAACACATTACCCTAACACCGATCCTGACTGGAATGTAAATGGCGCAGATATGGCTCAACTTAAAGCCTATAGAGATGCTATAATTGCTGGCATGAAAGCCGGAGGGAAGAAAGCTATTAACATGTCGAAGACAGTTGAGGTGATTCAGAAAAGTGATGAAGCGCCCAGTGTCTTTTATGACCGATTATTGGAGGCATACCGCTTGTATACCCCCTTTAATCCGGAAGACGCTGATAATTCCCGAATGGTAAACTCCGCCTTTGTCAGCCAAGCTTACGGAGATATTAAGCGCAAGCTACAGAAATTAGAAGGGTTTGCAGGTATGTCTATCACCCAACTAATGGAGGTAGCGAACAAAGTATATATGAATAGGGAAACAGAAAGTAAGAAAGAGGAAGAGCGCAAGATGCGTAGAAAGGCAGATATGCTAGCGGTAGCGATCGCAGGCGTAGATAGACGGGGCCCAGATAGAGGCGATGGTAGATGGAATAGGGAGCCTTTGAGTAGGAATCAGTGCGCGTACTGCAAGGAAGAAGGGCATTGGAGGAATGAGTGTCCGCAAAGAGAGCAGTATGAGAGAGACTTACCCAGGGCAGGTTATGGAAACTTTAGAGGCAGAGCGAGAGGTAGAGGAGGCCCCGGAGGGAGTAATGGTAATAGAGGGAGTAATGGGAACAGAGGAAGTGTAAGGGAAGATAGGTACTATCCAGCAGCGCAAAGGTCCCGCGATAGAGAAGGTAGGGACTTTGTGGGATTGGCTGACACGGTCATGGAGGACTATTGATACCGACCGGGCTCCATCCCCCTTGGTCGAGCGGAGCCTATGGTCGATGTATCAATAGGGGGAAAAAGGAGTGCGTTCATGATCGACACTGGTGCTGAACATTCGGTGGTGACTAATCTAGTTGCTCCTCCATCTGGAAGAACTATTACTGTAATAGGAGCAACTGGAAGAAGTGCTGAAAAACCGGTTCTTAAAAGTCGACTCTGTACATTGGGAGGCCACGTAGTAAAACATCAATTCCTTTATATGCCTGAGTGTCCAGTCCAATTGCTGGGACGTGATATGCTATCCAAATTACAAGCGCAGATTACGTTCCTACCAAATGGAACAACATCCTTAAAGTTTAATGGACCCTCAGGTATTATGACATTGTCCGTACCAAAGGAAGAAGAGTGGCGACTTTATACAGTGTTGACTAGCCAAAACCCGAGGAGTGATGAATCCTTATTTAACATACCAGGAGTTTGGGCAGAGAACAACCCACCAGGACTGGCCCGCAATATTCCACCTATTAAAATCGAACTAAAACTTGGGGTTTATCCAGTAAGCCTGAGACAATATCATATTCCGCAGAAGGCTAAGAAGAACATCCAATCTTATCTGGATAAGTTCATACGGTATGGTATCCTAAAATTCTGTACTTCCCCCTGGAACACCCCATTGCTGCCTGTTCAAAAGCCCGGTACAGATGAGTATCGACCTGTGCAGGACTTGAGAGCAGTCAATGATGCGGTTGTTAGTATACATCCAGTCGTGCCCAATCCATATAACCTGCTTGCTTTAATTCCGGGCGGGGCTACTTACTTTACAGTCTTAGATCTCAAAGATGCCTTCTTTTGCCTCCGAATTGCCGTAGAGAGCCAATGTATCTTTGCTTTCCAATGGGAAAATGCTGTAACGGGCTCGAAACGCCAAATGACCTGGACAAGATTGCCCCAGGGGTTTAAAAATTCACCTACCCTATTTGGTTCAGCTCTAAGCCAAGATCTAC